TCCCTTCCAACTACATCTATTTGTTCAAGATGGAATGAAAGTCTGGACGAGTTTATGAAATGTTTTAATTAAACTTTCATTCAACTACAACAAATATCGTCTAATTCATATTGGATTAACCTATTTATGACTGAGAATCCTTAACTTAAAATAACAGTCCAATTAAAATATTTCATGAACTTATCCAGACTTTCATTCCATCCCTAGCATCCAGTTCAAATAAAAAGGGATACCCCATTCGTGGAAGAAATGTTTTAAAGTAAGATGAAAAATTTTAAGATTGGAATGATATTTTTTAAGATGGAATGAAAATTTAAAATTCAGAATGTAATTTTACTATAGAATGATTATTTAATTGTGGGAATTTTTTCTGTTTAGTAATCAAGTGTGGGAGTGTTAGCGGCTGTAGGAGTGTGATTGATAGATTGCTTATTTCACTGAGTGTTTTATCTGTCAATTTTGCACATAATTTGCACATAATGAAACAATAATTTAGGACATTGCTCAACAGAAAAGTAGATTACGAGTCTTGATTAAAAACTTCTGGTCGTTCTTCGGAATAAAGTCGAGCAAGGTTGATAAAAGTTGTGCGTGGTTCCCTCCCTCCTCCAAACGCATTTCCTCCTTCTTTATTACATATATATATATGTATATATATATGTATTTTATCATTCTATATATGAGGGGATGGGGTTTAAAATTCCTAATCGTAACTCTTGCGCCTCCTCTCTAGTAACGTATGATAGTTCCTTCCTGCCCCTGATCTTCCAGCCTCGCGTCTGAGCTATTGCTTCCTTCTGTTACCTTGTGGATTTTGGTCCTCTGACTAACTAAACCTGTGTCCTTTCCCCTATTTTCGTCTTCATTCTTATTTATTTATCCTTCTGAGGGGCGAAATAGGGGTGTTTAATACAGGATACATTTGCTTCCGATCTTGAAACCTTAACCTGGCTAAAATTTGTTAATTGAGCTTGGGAGGTAGGAAGGTAAAGGGGAATGGCGAGCGGAAGAAGAGAAAAAAGTAGATGAAGAAGACGAGGAGGAAAAAAAAAATTAAGCAAAGGAGAAATATGTAGTCGAAGCCCCAAAAAATACGAGGGTTTTTTCTGGATCTGGTTACTCTCTGGGTTGGGGGATTGGAGGGTGTGGGAGGTAGAGTATGGGGGGGAGAATGAGGGGGTTGAGGTACTAGAAGAAGCTGATGGACGAGTATCGACCTATTAGGAGGGGGTGAGTCGAATTCAGATGCATAGTCAGAGGATCTGCGGCAAGCCGCTCCTCTTCTACTGGGGGCGCCTTCATCCTTCCTCTTCTGCGACATCGTTTTCTTCGTGGTCGATGAAGGTGAAAACGTGAGTAGGGTCCTGGAGTTTCAATATGAGGCGCGAAAGCGTCGACTGCGATGGATAAGAGGCTTCCCTTGGGAAGTGAGGCGCAGGTTGGTACTCTGTTGGAGCTCCGCAAGCTTGGTCCGTGAGTGCTCTGAACCACGGTCCTGGTCTTGACTGGATCAATTGGTGAAGGAAGAGATGGGAAATGTCTCCCTTGGCGAGCTGATTGAAGAAGCCCTTGAAGAAGAAGGTCAGGGGGGAGATGATACCCGGTAGTCTCCTGAGACAGGGAAGATTTTTTGCTAAGCTGAGGAGGCCGCCGTTAACCCAGAATCTCTAGGAGTTGCTTCTTGCTGACGCCGAGCATAAGGAAAAACAGTAGAACGGAATGCGTAGATCATAATCGTGCTGCACCTTGAAATTTGTCAGATCTGTACTTGCTCGGGCTTGCTCCAGAGGTAAGAGTATTGAGGGTGTGAGTGCCGACAGACATTAGAGATAGTAGAAGGTTATAATAGAAGGAGTGAGAAAGTAGCTCCATTGCCTGGTGTCGTTTGAAAAAAAAAAAAGATTGTGCTTCATTATGGAACGTAAAAAATGCGGCTTCTTCCACAAATTTAAGGAGATCCGCAGTAATGAGGTTGGAGCCGAATCTGCTTTCCACGAAAGTGGATTGCAAAGAGGTAATGGTGCGAGAATAACGAACGGGAGGGAGAATATGTGAAGTGGGAGGAACGAGGCTGATGGTGGGTCTATGACGAAGATGCGCTGAATATTTTCATCCGCGCATATGAGTGGTAAAGTCATGGAGGAATGAAGTGGAGTGATGAGTGAAAAAACGATTGTTATTAGTTGAGCATCCGGGATAGGTTCCAGGTTTTGGACTGTGAGATTCGAAGGGAAGAAAGAAAGAAAGAAGGGGTCGAAGAGAGGCGTGCTGTCGGTGTATAATGAATGGAAGGAAGTGGATGTAGACGGGGAGGCTGACGCGGCTTGGTGAGGGTTGGCGATGAGATTGGGCAGGGGGGGGGGTTGGTCTCCAATTCTGCAGGCTGACAGGTTCACGGTGAGACGGGTGGGGGACTGGGAACTGACTTACCGGTACGGGGTAGACTGACTGGTAGTGACTGACCGAAAGTAGACGTTGACTTCTGACCGAGTGGACGGCGATGGTGGCTGACGACCTGGACTTGACGACCAAAGTCCGAAGGACTGCGACCGGTATATGGCTGTCGAGATGGCGATGGTGAGTGACAACGTTGACTTGACAATCAAACCCGAAGGACTGCAACCTGAGAGTCCTCTCACCAAATCATGGCGAGGGAAAATGACTCGACTTGTGAAAGACCTGCCCCTTGTGTGGCGTGCGCGCAGGTTCACATTTGCGATGAATGCTGCGAGCAGTCGGGGTCTGGAAGGCGCGGCTCGGGAAAGCACGCAAGCTGTCGTGGCTGGTCAAGTGTCTGTGACTTACACGGTCGCAGGTTAAAGCAGTGGTGGCGGTCGGGCCAGCGAGGCCATACTCCAGCCAGGGTAAGTGTCACGTCAAAGTCCAAATTGACCGTAGATGCTGAGATGAAATGTGTCCATCGTCGATCTTTAGAAACTGCGACTCCCGTTGTCTTGAAGGCCCTTGATGTGGTAGATCTGCGGTTGGGAGGTCAGGTCCCAAATGCCGATGGCACGGTACCAGTTTCCGATGGCCCTGTACTAGTTTCCAACCCGGCTGCTTGTTGTCGTTGAGGGTAGAAGGATGTTGAATTGTTGAATCTGCTCCGTTCAGTTTGCGTGCAACCAGGTGCGGAGTTGTTGGCATAATGTTACTCTGCCGGGGCCAAGTCCCACTAGCAGCATTGAGCTACCTCAACGCCTGAATCTGGACGTGTTTGTGTTTGTGGAGACCAGAAGTTCAGGAAACTCAACACCATTTCTGCACACCTCCGCAAACGCGTCCAGATTCAGGCGTCGAGGTAGCTCAACGCTGCTAGTGGGACTTGGCCCCGGGCATACTCGCCCTTCCACCCGAAATCCGCAAATTATGCTCACCCTTTGGGAAAGGCCGATTTCGGGTTTTGGGCATGCTGGCCGTCATACTGCGTTACAATTACTAATAGCAAAAGAAAAAAAAAAAAAAAAAGAAGGAATTGGTGCTTCGCTGTTCCCGCAGCGCCAGCCCTAAGGGCGAGATCCCACTGACAAAGAGGATTGGAGTTAGTGTCTGAATCTGGACGTGTTTATGGACAGGTGTAAAAATTTGTGATCGATCTACTTTCCTTCATCTCTGTTTCCAACATGTCCAGATTCGGCCTCTTATTCCAATCCTCTTTGCCAGTGGGATCTGGCCCTAAATTCTACCGATTTGTTTTTTTTTTCCCTTCTTCTTTTACCCTGCGTTCCGCTCATACAGACACCTCAACATCGGGTCTCGCTCCACTAGTCTACACTCCCGGGGCCAAGTCCCACTTACGCTGATCCTTGATTTCTGGTCGTTGATCTTCAAAATCTGCGGTCAGAAATCGACCATTCGGGTAAGTTGGACGTGGCTCCCGAAGTTTCCAGAATAACGCCTCGCGCCACTTAGGGGCTCGCCACACCACTCTCGAAATGTGAAAAAGACAAAAATGCCTGGGACGCATCTGGCCATGTTCTAGGGGAAAGTTCATTCTCATTTTGCACATTTCGAGAGTGATGTGCCCATCCTGCCCGTACTCTAGATTGGAACTCGTGACAACACCCTTAGAGAGGGCACTCGCTGCACTACTCTAGATTGGTATAGAGTTCACAGCCTGCAGCGCTAAGGTTTTAGGGCCTCGCTGAACTTCTCTCGAAATGTGCAAAAGGAAAATGAATCCTTGCCTAGAACATGGAAAGATACATAGCCATATTTTTGTAGATTGTGCATGTGGAGAGTAGTGCAGAGACGCCAGAAACATAGCCATATTTTTGTAGATTGTGCATGTGGAGAGTAGTGCAGAGACGCTCTTTCTAGCGTCCTCCCTCCTACCGAGCTCCGACCTATGTTTTCGCGAGTGTGCCTCCTGCCCCGACCATCAGAACGATCTGGCGCTAGATCTGGCGCTGTAGAAGGCCTGTCATGTGGCGCTGAGAAATTCGTGAGTGCTTCTAGTGTTCTTGAGTCTGGAGTTCTAGTGGATCGATGCTTCTTCTGTCAAGAGTTCTAGACGTCTGACAGTTCTAGAAGGATTCTCACGTCCAAGGCTTCTCTGTGTAGTGGAGCGATACCCATTAGCACACCCCCCCCCCCCCCCCCCACAAAAAAAAAAATATCACACTCGCTATCGGAACATAGCCTTAACAGACACACACATCCTCACTGCGATGGCTGCACACACACACACACACACCCAATCAACCCATCAATAGCACGTACAATCGAGAAGTCAGTCGGCAAGAACTGTCGGGAATGAATTTTGGCAATTGTTTTTAAAAAGTTAAAAAAGTAAAAAGGGAATTTGCTGTCAAATGTTTTTTTTTGCCTTTTTATTTGAAATGAGGTGACCATCAGCCGCAAATTCGGCCTCATTTCAAAAAAAAAAAAAAAAAAAAAAAAAAAAAGAAAAAAATCCCTGGCCCCGCAGCTTCCCGGGGCGCTGAGAAATGTGCGCACATATAGTACATTTGGTACTCCTGCCGAATCTGTGGGAGGCGTCCCGCTCGCTGATTGCATCTTAGCGCCTCATGCACTTGTTGATTGCACCTCAGCGCCTCACTCACTTGCTCAGATCTCGCGCGGCGCCCTTTCTCGCGCGAAGCAGTCGTGGATTTCGAGGGAACGAAGAGGAGGAAGAGATCACGAGAGATCACGGGAGGGTGTGCGTGCACTGTGCAGGACTTGCGTTGCTTGTTGGGCAGTCGTAGCCATGGCGGCCAAAGGTGAAGGACCAGCGATTGGAATCGACTTGGGAACGACGTACAGCTGTGTCGGCGTGTGGCAGCATGACCGTGTCGAGATCATTGCGAACGATCAGGGTAACAGGACCACGCCGTCCTACGTGGCGTTCACGGATACGGAGCGGCTGATCGGAGATGCAGCTAAGAATCAGGTGGCAATGAATCCGACGAATACGATCTTCGACGCAAAGCGACTGATTGGACGAAAGTTCAATGACAGTTCGGTGCAGAGTGACATTAAGCTCTGGCCTTTCGAGGTCATCGATGGCCCGGGGGGCAAGCCTCTGATTGGTGTGTCGTACATGGGGGAGAGGAAGCAATTCGCCGCAGAGGAGGTGTCATCTATGGTGTTGACGAAGATGAAGGAGATAGCGGAGGCGTTTCTCGGTGCGACTGTGAAGAACGCCGTCATCACTGTTCCCGCCTACTTCAACGACTCCCAGAGGCAGGCCACGAAGGACGCCGGCGTGATCTCGGGTCTGAACGTGATGAGAATCATAAACGAGCCGACGGCAGCTGCCATAGCTTATGGTCTTGACAAGAAGGCGAGCAGCGTCGGCGAGAAGAACGTCATGATCTTCGACCTAGGCGGCGGCACTTTCGATGTCTCCCTGCTGACCATAGAGGAAGGCATCTTCGAGGTCAAGGCGACGGCGGGAGATACGCATCTTGGCGGCGAAGACTTCGACAGTCGAATGGTGCACCACTTTGTGCAGGAGTTCAAGAGGAAGCACAAGAAGGATATCAGTGGCAGCGCTAGGGCGTTGAGGAGGCTGAGGACTGCCTGCGAGCGCGCCAAGAGGACTCTGTCTTCCACCGCGCAAACGACTATCGAAATCGACTCTCTCTTTGAGGGTATTGATTTCTACTCCACGATTACGCGGGCGCGTTTCGAGGAGCTGAATATGGACTTGTTCCGGAAGTGCATGGAACCTGTGGAGAAGTGCCTGCGGGACGCGAAGATGGACAAGCAGTCGGTCCACGAGGTGGTGTTGGTCGGCGGATCCACTCGCATTCCTAAGGTCCAGCAGCTGCTGCAGGACTTCTTCAACGGCAAGGAGTTGTGCAAGAGCATCAACCCCGACGAGGCAATCGCCTACGGCGCGGCTGTGCAGGCGGCCATCTTGAGCGGCGAAGGTAACGAAAAGGTACAGGACTTGCTTCTGCTCGATGTCACCCCTCTCAGCCTCGGTCTGGAGACGGCTGGCGGTGTGATGACTGTGCTGATCCCGAGAAACACGACTATCCCCACGAAGAAGGAGCAGGTGTTCTCCACGTACTCTGATAACCAGCCGGGCGTGCTCATTCAAGTGTACGAGGGTGAGCGATCTCGTACCCGGGACAACAACCTGCTCGGTAAATTCGAGCTGTCGGGTATTCCGCCGGCGCCCAGAGGCGTTCCTCAGATCACCGTATGCTTCGATATCGACGCCAACGGAATCTTGAACGTCTCCGCGGAAGACAAGACGACTGGCAGCAAGAACAAGATCACGATTACCAATGACAAGGGTCGTCTGTCGAAGGAGGAGATCGAGAAGATGGTTCAAGATGCGGAGAAATACAAGGCGGCGGACGAAGAGCACAAGAAGAAGGTGGAGTCGAAGAACAGTTTGGAAAACTACGCGTACAACATGAGGAACACCATCAGGGATGAGAAGATTGCTTCCAAGCTGGATGCTGCCGACAAAGAGACGATCGAGAAGGCGGTCGACTCCGCTGTGGAGTGGCTGGACCAGAACCAGCTGGCAGAGGCGGACGAGTTCGAAGACAAGATGAAGGAGTTGGAGGGTGTGTGCAATCCAATCATTGCGAGGATGTACGGTGCCGGAGGGGGAGCGGGGGGGGGAATGGGGGCTGACATGCCAGGAGGGGGGTTCGGCGGCAGGGATGCGCCGCCCAGCTCTGCCGGTGGCCCTGGGCCCAAAATTGAGGAGGTCGATTAAGCTTGGGGGGGGGGAATAGGGTGGAGGAGGTCATAAGTTGGGGGGGGATAGGGTGGAGGTCGATTAAGCTGGGTGGGGGGAATAGGGTGTAGGAGGAGGTCGATTAAGCTGGGCGGGAGGAATAGGGTGGAGGAGGTCGATTGAGCTGGGGGGGGGATAGGGTACAAGTAGCTAGTTAGCTGATTCGGACCATTCGGTGGCATTCTTTTTGTGCTCTGGAGATTGGATTGGCGGCCTTACTGAGGGAGCTCGTTTTGTCTTGTCGTCACGGCTGAGTTAAAAGAAAGTGTTCTATGCGAACTGCTTTTTTTTTTTTTTAATGTGAACTCTGCTTCTCGTCTCTCGCGTAGTGAGCGGTGTGTATGTTTCTTGTTGTTGTTGTTGTTGTTGTTGTTGAGACGGTTAGTTATAGTCCTGGCGTTAGTGCTTGGACGGAGTGTTTTTTGCTTCGAGTCGCTCGATGTAGATTTCTCGGCTTCGTCTCCTTCTGATGACGGTGTTGGATATTGATTGATATATGGTATCTTGATGATGACATCTTTTTTTTTTTTTTTCTTTTTTTTTTGCATTTTTGGACGCTCTGTTTTGCCTTTCGATTAATATCCTCCATAATTGTGAGCTGTAATCTTCCGTCCTTAGTTGATGATCGCTGTTCCTTCCAGCCATTCTTCTACCTGTGGTTGTATTGTCTCCTCATTGACAACGACGTTAGGCACTTGGTGCGCGCGCTTTCTTTTGCTGCATGTTTCTTTTCCATTCTGTTGAGGTGAGGCGTAGTTCGGACTTCGGAGGCTCTTTTTTTTTGTCCGTTGGTATTCATCATAAGAGTTACGATGAATGCCAACGCCATCTTTGTTTTGTCCGTTGAGGTGAGGTGTAGTTCGCGAACTTTGAAGAATCTAATCATGAATGATTGCGACATTCCATTGGAAGCTTTTGCACGACACATCGTTCACTCGAGTGGTGGATGGCGTTGGTCAGTCTGTTCTCGTCGGGGCTTGGTTTGGGATTTGTGCCTGCCGTTGCATTTTTTTCAGGATCAGGATCAGGTTCATGCACAGATTCTCGATCTCAAGTGCTGGTTAGGTCTGTGGTTTTGTGCCTGCTGTTGCATTTTTTCCAGGATCAGGTTCATGCAAAGATCCTCGGTCTGCGGTTCTGTGCCTGCTGTTGCATGTTTTTCAGGATCAGGATCAGGTTCATGCGAAGCTACTCGGATCTCTTCTCAAGTGCTGGCTAGGTCTGTGGTTTTGTGCCTGCTGCTGTTGCATTTTTTTCACGATCAGGATCTCAGGTTCATGCACAGATTCTCGATCTCTTCTCGAGTGCTGGTTAGGTCTGTGGTTTTGTGCCTGCTGTTGCAATTTTTTCAGGATCAGGATCAGGTTCATGCACAGATTATCGGATCTCTTCTCAAGTGCTGGTTAGGTCTGTGGTTTTGTGCCTGCTGCTGCATTTTTTTCAGGATCAGGATCAGGTTCGTGGACAGATCCTCGATCTCTTCTCGAGTGCTGGTTAGGTCTGTGGTTCTCGGTACTTGGTCCTTTCTCTGCTATTGGTTTTTTTTGTTCGGTCTTTTGTTCTCTGTACCTGGTCCTTGCTCTGCTGTACGATTCGTTGGGCCCCTGTTACTAGGTTTTCCTTCTGGCTCTGTGGGAGGATTTGTGTCGGTTATCTCGATTTCTGTCGAGGTGTTGGACGTTCTCGACCAGGGACTTGTGCCTCCTGCTGTGCTCTGCTGTTTCTTTCGAACGCAGTTGCGTTCAAAGATACTCTCGAAGTCTTATCGAGTGCTGAAAGGTGTCTGATTCACTGACAAGGTACTCGTGCTTTGTCGACGATGGATTTTTTTTTTTTGTTTTTGTGACGATGGATCTTTTGGCCCACTGTTTGTGCGTTTTTATTTCTCGCATTGTGCGCGGAGTAATCGTTCCTGCGGTGACAGTGTGGTCCCCAAATCTTGCAGCTTTCTGGAGTTATGATTAGGTTCACTTGTTGCTCTTCTCGAGCGCTGTTTTTTTACGTATTAGGTTCACTTCTTGCTTCTCGAGCGCTGTTTCTCTCCGTATTTGGTTCACTTTTTTTTTTTTTTTTTTTTTTTTTTCATATGAGGTCTCTTCTTGCTTCTCGAGCGCTGTTTTTTTCCGTATTAGGTTTACTTCTTGCTTCTCGAGCGCTGTTTTTTCACGTATTATTGTTCGCTTGTTGCTTCTTGAGCGCTGTTTTTTTACGCATTAGATTCTCGTTAGGGACTGCTGCTTCTGCTCTTGCGATCGTCGCAATGTTGCAATGTTTAAGGGTTCCAGGTCCGTACGTTTCTACATGTGCTGTTTTTTTTTGTTTTTTTTTTTGCTCTTTCGACTTTGTTTGGGAGCATGTTTCTCTCGGTGTTGGTAGATTCTGAATTCTTTCGGGCCAGTCGGATCGTTATTTTGCTCATAGTTTTTTTCTTCTTGCAGGCATCTCTCGAGTGTGCTGATTTGCGATCATATTATTTTGGTGATCTCATTAAATTCGAATCTGCGAGTACGATGTTTATACTATTTTCGAGACCCAGTGTGAGTATGCCCCGAGTATGCGAGGGGCCGTATGAACCTGGCCGGAGTTCCCGTATCATACGGGGAAAGGTTGCTTTTAAAAAAAATAACAAAAAAATAAAAAAACGAAAATCATTTGTATTAGTAGATACAGACGAGTGTACGACCTATATAACAGATACTGTTCAAGTCCCGTCACCCGGAGCGTGGTCCCATTAGCCACGAGGATCGGATTGAGTGCCTGAATCATTGTGCACAGGTGCAGGAAATCGAGATTGAATTGCTTTTCTGCATCTCAGCGTAAAATACATCCAGATGCAGGTATTCAATCCGATCCTTGTCGCTAGTGGGACCTCGGTCCCGCGCAAATTACCTACTTAACCCGGGAAAAAAAAAAAACACCAAGGAAAACACCTTACGGATCGAAGGCCGGAAACGACACCAGATAATAAACAATATCCGGCGAACAATCGTGGCTGACTGGCAAGGCACCTACAAAAGTAAGAGAAGGATTCCGGTGGTTTATGGGGACGTGGGCGAATAGGGGTAGTTTTGTCTCAGTCTCTATGGATCGCAAACTTTCCTTTTCACAGTGGTTGAAGCCACCCTGAAGAAGATGTGGTGCTACCAGGTGAGGGCTTACAGTTAGATCTGCAGAGAAAGCCTGTTGAAGATGTGTTGGTGGGAACTAAGTATAGAGTCGCATTAGACTCGAGAGGAGCTGGTGGGATATGTTTGGGTGTTCAAGATCTTTGGTGATCATCGGATGTGAGCTCTCCCGGTGCTGTTAAGACGAGTTATTTGGCTCTGTTAAGTGTAATTGGAGTCTCACTGAGAAGCCGTAGGAGTAAAATGCTCACATGAAGGAGGACATTGGTTGTTGAAAAGGATGGTTTATGTGAGTCCTCGCTGACTGCTAATAGCAGTCTACTTTTTTGGGGCTTCAAGGTACTTCGGAAAGTTGTTGAAATTAGTAATGGGACACTGGACCCGGTTTCCAGCAGCAGATAAAGGACAGTAAATGATATTGCGAGCTTTGCTCGAAAGCGACACTGTCTGAGGCTGCCAGGATAACTCCGGGTTGAATTGTGAGGTCCCCGGCCTCTTCCCAAATTGTTTTGCAATATAAATCGACACTTTTCGGAAAAAAAAAGACCGGAAACGAACGGTCCAGAAAATTTCCAATGAAGTATGTGGTCAAAAAGCACAACAACGTTTTTAAGCAGGAAAAGTTTTTCTTTTTTATTAGCAAAAAAATCCAATGAAGTATGTGGTCAAAAAGCACAACATTGTTTTTTTTTTTTTTTTTTAAGCAGAAAAAGTTTCGTTTTTTTAGTAAAGCCGGCCCGGCATTCGTCACAAAAAGTCAGGAAGAACTCCCCCTGGACTACCGTCTTCACCCGAATAGAACGCCCGGTCATTATAACTGTATTTTGGTGCAACTTTCAGTCTACATACAGTGATAATGACCTTTTATTCCGGTGAAGACGGTAGGCACTACAGGCATCCCAGGGGCAGAGGGCCCCACCAAGTGCATCACACCTGGGGCTAGGTCCCACTTGCACGAATTAAGAGATACTGACCGTAGATAGCAAAGATCAACGGCCGAGATCTCCTAATTTTTGCAAGTGGGACCTTGCCCCTGAAAATAGAACTCAACAGTGCCAACAAAAAAAAAAAAAGCGTATTATATGGGCCTTGCTGCACTACTCTCGAAATGCACAAAAGACAAAAATCATGGTGTTGTATCTTTCCATGTTCTAGCATAAGATTCACTCTCTTTTTGCACATTTCGAGAGTAGTGGAGCGACGTCATATATAAGGGTCTGATCCCACCACGGGTCTGATCCCACCACTACATGACGACTGTAGTCGCCAAAAAGCACTACAAAGATGTCAGCGGCCGTGGCGGGACGAAAAAGAAAAATTTCCCACCACTACACGACGATGTAGTCGCCAAAAAGCACTACAAAGATGTCAGTGGCCGTGGCGGGATGAAAAAGAAAAATTGGATCCCACCAGGGCAACTTGTTCGGTGCTTTTCCTGAACCTGCGGCGGTTCTTTGTGGGCTGGGCTGTTGCAGAGGGCAGCCAATCGAAATGCTGCAAATGGACGAAAGACAAAAATAAAAATAAAAAAATTGCTCCCTCTTTTTCGCTGCAGAGACGCCCTCACCGGCTACACAAATTTTGTAGCAACTACGCTTGCACCATTCGCGGAGGTGCTGCCATTTGTATGGCAAAATATTTTGGCGGCTGCGTCGAAGTCGGAAAGTGGTGGGATCCACAAACTACAGTGTAACTGGGCTGTAGTGTGGTAGTGGGATCAGGCCCTAGGGGTCTGATCCCACCACTACACTACGCAAGTAGTGACGAAAAAGCACTACAATAGTGTCAGCGGGCCCGTCTACAGAAAGCGGATCCGACGACACAGACTTCCTCGGTAGTTTTCCTGGACCCGCGGTGACTTTCCATGGGCTGCATTTTTAGGGCGGACATTTCCGTTGTATTGCCAGACGACATGTCACACATGCATGTGGACCTTGGACGTTCCTAACGGGCTGTGGACGGACAACTGAAAAAAAAAAAAAAAACACAAAAAAAAAATGTTCCCTCTTTTTCGCGGCCGTTGTGCCCAAACCGTCTACACAAAAAATGTAGTAACTTTGCTCGAGCCCTTCGCGGGCATGCTGCCACGACATTCCGACACGAAGTGTGTGCAAAATATTTCGGCGAACTCCACAACCGTAGTGTAGTGGTGGGATCCCGAAACTACAGTGTAACACGCTGTGAGATCCCCAAACTACAGTGTAACTGGGCTGTAGTGTAGTGGTGGGATCAGACCCTTATTGGGCCTCACTGCACTGCTCTCGACATGCACAAAAGACAAAAATCATGGAGGTGTATCTTTCCATGTTCTAGCGGAAGATTCACTCTCGTTTTGCACATTTCGAGAGTAGTGGAGCGAGGCCAGGCAGCAGGCGGGAAAACTGCACGGCGTCTGTCTCTACAGCTTTGCCTGGCACACGACAGCTCCACCGATTGCCACTACTAAAGTAGCAACAGGCATTCCCGAAAGGCGGTATAAAAGGGAAAAAGGAAACGGAAGCGATGCCAACTTTTTTTTTTTTTTTTTTTTTTTTTTTTTCCAAGTCTTCAGTGATGCAGAACCTCCTTCCAAACTAGGTTCATAATAGATCCAGCGGCCTAGCTCAGTTGGTAAGGCACGCAAGTGGCATTCAGGAGGTCGCGGGTTCAATCCCCATTGGCCACATGCACCTTCCTGGGCAAGCTTGGCGCTCGCCACCTAAAGATATGCCGTTGGTACCCCTGAGTGGCATTGAGCAGAGACTGCTGATGTTCATTGGGGGGAGGGGACCACTACCTGAGGGGAGGCACAGTGACTGGCTCATCGAAGAAGCTCGGTCCTGATACTACCATCAGGCTGACCCCTGGCCGGTATCGCCCACCTGCTGTAGCAGGTATCGCACCTGCAGGTGGGGTGCAGCTCCTGCATGTTCCCTCGTTGGAGGCTTGAGCACGGATGTGGGCTGCTACGGGGTTCCCCGTAATACTATAGTAATGACAATAAAAAAGGCCTGAAAGGCCGTCCTGTCCAGATTTGACAGGTAATTGAATTAGCCTTTGAAAAAAAGAAAAAAAAACTAGGTTCATAACTGAACACCTCAAAAGCGAAGCAACTGCACACAGTGCCCGACACCTGCGAAAACACGAAAGCGAAAAACAGAAAAGGAATCACCTTCACACAAGTTTTGCACAGCATCTGGTGGCAGCTCCCACCAAAAGCCAAAACCCCGAGCAGAAATCAGTCAGTAGCAGGGGCATCAGAGGAAGAAGGACGAAAAAAGGGAAAAGTCATAAAACCTTCCCTCCGCAATGAAACCTTTGTATCCATTTCTGGAATCCATTTCTTCCCCCTGAACAGGGAAAAAGGTGACAGAGACCCCAAATTCACTTTCGGCGTCATTTTGCACCCTGCAAAACACTTCCACGCCATTTTTACACAGCGGCCATTACAGGCCCAGCTAGGGTGCAAAAATGACACCAAAAGTGATTTGGGGACCTGGGTCACTTCTTTTCTTGTTGGGAGGGCAATGGATACAAAGGTTTCGTTTGGGGGGGAAGGTTTTATGACTTTTCCCACG